TAATACGCTACTTTGTAGCGTCGGTATTCCTGGATGGAATTTGTTGAATTAAAATTTTTCCCAGCACAATTATTTTCTAGAAGCTCGAACAGGTAGGAGAATATAGGTGTTAAATCGGCCCTGAGAAACTTCCCAATTAAAATCCCTCAATTACAATAGCTACTGTAACGAGAGGTCGAACATTAACCAGTAACGAAATAATTCTCTTCTTCCTGGTCAAATATAGACGTTTTCCATCACTTTTCCATAACATTTTTCAATTACTCGTAGCATACAATAACTATCACTTTCAAATTCAATATCTCGAAATAAAATACTCCTCTTGCATCCTTCGTTACACGTAACAATATTAAGTCCCTCCCCTATTTTCTATTAAATCTGTAAGCTATCTACAAATTATTAAAATATTATTAAAAAATTGAATAAAAATAAGTCCAAGCAACTCAGCACCAAATGAAAAGATATTATTTAACCCTTATGTCAATAACCGGGTATCCTTTTGCATAATTCTCACTTAAAATATTTGATCTTCCAAGTAAAAGATTTAAATATCCGTGTTTGCCTCAAGTTTAGAATTTTTTTATCAGAAAACTGCTAAAATTGGACGATAAAGTAGACGATAATTCTGGTTATTGACATAAGGGTTAAACAAATTTTCAAACATTTAAACAAGCCTCCCAAATAATCCAACACTACCTAATTAAACATTTTCTAAATTATCTCCAAATAAATAACAAGACCAAAAGAAGTATCAGAAAATTTTTTAATTGTACAAAGTTCGTAATAATCTATTCAAATTGAAATACTTGTGCGTATCTATGCAATACCTTTTAACAAGGAAGAGTGTCGTTGAAATTTACGTTTTCTCTTGTTTACCGCATTATACTAGCAATTACATATGGTCTTAGAAGTATATTGACGTGTTACTGTGTATGCCCTTTTGCGTCAGAACGATATCGAGGTAGAATTTGAGTCAGGCGTCAAAGGGGATGAACCGGGGTAACCGGGGGCCGGCAGGGATAGGAGCAATCCGGTGATGCACCCTTGACAGTTCACCGTGATAAGATCTGCTCTTTCGCCGAGTCGGCTCCATTTGAATTCTGTTTGTAAGCCCCAGCGACGCTACCCTTCGAATCCATTGTACTTTTATCGACGAGAAAGAATATTACCATCTGCTGATTATCGGTAATCCTTATTCAGCGCTATTGAGTTTCCTTTGTTCTACAACTTCGGCGACAGTTCGCGGTCGCTGACATGTCAAACAGTGTGATTACGTTTGCAGCGAGGTGAACAATAATTAAATAGCATATAATTTCGTAATTGTAATTTTTACATTTTGGAAAGAGATTATTATTGTCATTTTTGCACGACAATAGGTAGACTTTGGTAGAAGCATAAAAGAATGAATTCCTAATTTAAACATTCATTTTGATGACCAATTATGTTCGATACAGTGTAGATCGATTTTGTCAATTTTTCATTTGTATGCATTAATATGCCCCGATTTGTTGATAAATTTAAAAACTGAAGGTTTGTTGTAACTTTTGATGTATGAAATAACATGCTGTGATTCTGAAGGTAGAAAGAAAGTATATACATTATTTAGTATTAAATCCGCAAATTGATTGTAGTAGTATAATCAATTATTGGATAAATTTTGCATTGATCCATATTTTACGATCATAATTCAGTATTTATTGGTATAATCACAAATCCTGAAGTTGATTGTAGTGACATATTTAATTACTGGATAAATTTGTATTTTTTATATAACAAAATTTAATAAAAATATTCTTCGAGGATTTCTAAGCGTTATTTGTTTATCATTTGCTCTTGCACATAAGTTAAATTACATATTGCAAGAAGATAAATTTATACACATCAATTAAAGTTTTCATAACGAACATTATTAAATTTGTCATAAACTTGATGGTTCTATAGGTCTGTAATGCTTTTTAAATATATAGCTATATACAATACACATGTACTTCTATAATTGAAACGCATTTTATAAAAAAAAAAGATTTTTGCCAGGTGTGGGGTTCGAACCCACGCTCCCAATTGGGAACCAGAACTTAAGTCTGGCGCCTTAGACCGCTCGGCCAACCTGGCTTCGTGGTGGAGACGTCTTCTTGGACTATTATAACAACAGCATATCATTTTTCAAATATAACTTTATAAAACGTAATAACAAATATCCTAAACTTATGTTCAGACAATATTCATATGTAATTCGTAACGTTTAAACCTTGTATTAACTGAATTTTGCTTAACAGGTTTTCGCCTTGGCAATGAAGCATGTACCGACAGACCAACTACTGTTCCTAATGACGTTAATTGGACCAACTCTGTATAAAACAACTTGATATACTGCAATCAAAAATAGTGCAAGATATTGGCCTAGTCTAATACAGTTTAACGAGCAGAAAGGGAACAGTATTCTATCTCGGCAACACTAGTTCTAACGCATCCTGAAGCACTCAATATAAATTGAATAAAATAAGATAAGAAAATAATGTCACTAATCATATAATTTTGAGTTCACAATTCGTTAACAGGGAGAAATTTTAACGTTGAAAATCAGCTTGCGAATATATTGGAGGAATATTTTAATCGCAAAAATATGAAATATTTCGTAAACCAGATAAATGAATTGGTGGATACTATGCTTTGCTGAGAAGATGACGAGCGGGACGGCACAGGGGCAAGAGAAGTAAACCGTTCGCTCCACCTTTGATGCTCACCATCATGCGATGGGTTAGGAGATGTGACCGTTTCGGCCAATAATAAAAATGTCTGTGATCTGACTTTATGAGTGTTTTCAGCAACGTACAGTACTAGGAAGACAATTATAAGTAACGATAAATATTATTCCACGGATGAATCGATAAAGGTTTCATTGAAAAAATCTCAATTTACTTTCTTTGCAAATGAAACGATAGAATTTTACGATCAACCAGTATAGTATATAGAATAGAAGCATAGAATTTTATATTTCGAGTATGATTTTAATAAGATATGCTGTCCTAAACTTTATTTGTAATTGCATTGTTTTATTTAGTTTTAATTCCAACCACTACTAATGCTGTAATCTTATTCTGTGCTGAATCGGTAACATTGAAAGTCACAAATGGAGAATAGAATTCTACATATCGGCAGAGCAAAGGGTATTAACACCTAATGCATTTTTGTGTCAAGGTCAGAAGGGCTGAGAGTGCCCTTACCATTTTCGTGTCGCTCCCAACATTACCGATTTAGCATAGAATAAGATTATAGCAGTAATAGTGGTTCGAATTGGATGTATATTTATATGCAAATTTGATAAAAGAAGATTCTTTACAACTGTCGTTTTTACCATCTTCGATGGTTGGATTGTATGTAATTCTTGAACTTTTGCTTTATATCGTAGAGGGTTCTGAAAATTCTGATTTTTTACACAATCGGTATTTCAGAACGTTGAACAGAAAAATACATTATGTGCAAGGTCTATGCTGTACCTCGTCTGCGTCTATATCTCGTCTGTGGTGTTAGGTTTATTCTGTACCTCGTCTACGTTTCAAACGGGCCTTAGGACCTAAATAGAAGTGGGAGATGGAAAAATTGTGGCCTCTCGCTATTAATCTACCAATACAATAGAAGGCTATCACACTTATTTTTCTATAAATGATAGACAACGATCGAGCCTTGCACGAGCAGTTGATAACAGGTGAGCAGTCGATAATAGATTGTACTGCACAATCTACTATTACTCGATGAGTAATCCACAAGTAGCCATTACTATTTCTACTTTTAATTTTTTTATATTATTTATTTCCTTTGCAGTGAATTTGTATTTCTATTTTAATTTTTATATTTTTACACCAACAATTTTACGGCATAACTAATAAGTACTAAGTGATATAATTAATTATTGATAGTAAATCAATAAATAAATATGATAATCAATAGGAAATTTTAAATATACAATTGCAATCCAGTGCCATTTTTTCTTCTATCCATCTCTTTTTCCCTTTTGTAGTGGTGTTGTGTAATTTCCAGGTGTCTCTTCTAAATTCTTTTTCCACGAATTGTTCGTTTCACAATTATTTTGAAAACCCATGGGGCTTGCACACACAACTTCATAAATGACACATTGTAACAACAATCAACGAGAGACGGGACGAATTCTTCGTCTGACCGAGAGAAAGCGAACGGGACAGCTATCTGTCTTTGTCATTTTCGAAATGTTAGGAAGCGACTAGAAAATTCGAGAAGCGTCTGTCTCACGATCCGCGAAGGTCATGCGTTTCCGCGCGAATATCCACATATTAACGCGGCTCGTTAATTAGCCACACTTCATTAGCAACGGTGGAATATAAGTATTGCAGCCGCGGACGCACTCTAGAGCATTCTTGCTGCACTCTTTTGGAAGAAAACGAAAGTATCCATCGGTTGCCTATTAGAGTGGGGAGAGTACGAAGTTTTGCTATCGGACGCCCTTCAGCTAAGAGAGTGCAGGAACTATACCTGGGGTTCCTCTCTGGAGGAGAAAACGGTTGAATTACCCGTCGGTCGCCTTCCAGAGAGTAGAGTATAGACAGCTATTCGAACACATTACAATAATCGCAATTGAACATTGTAATTGTTAAAGGATTCGTTAGATCCGGAATGGAAGAGTTCGGCTGCTTAAAGCCGGACGCCCGAAAATCAAAGCTTGTATTGAAAGGCTGATAAACTAAGAATGAATAAACTTTTGTCTTTCCCTCAGAACCTGAGAGTCCTATTTCCTAACCGTATCCATACGTACCATCCTACACTATTAAAAATATATTATGAATAATTTGATAACAAAAAAATTAAAACATTCGAAGTTCATTAATTTTGTTACCAAAAATTACATAGACAAATAAAATGAATTTGTTATATCTTTTAACCAATTTAATTATCATTGGATAATGTTTGCAACGTATTATTGTAAATATTAGTAAACAATCGATAATTGTTATGGTATAGTTGCTAAGAAACTAGTAAACTATTTACCAATGGCGCCGGATCAGTGGCTGAGTCTTATTCAAAATGCACAGAAAACGGCAATTATCCAAAATGGTAAAATATTTAAAAAATACATTAATGCTATGATCATAATATCTTTATTATTTATGTATTTATTTTGATTAGAAATATCTTTAAATGGTATTTATAAATTGAAAGTTATAAAGCGTTTATGTTTAACCTCCAAAACGTTGGATCAATAGTGAATGTTATTTCAAATTTTTGATTGTACAATAATTATCAGTGAGGTCACAGATGAATGTTTTTTCTATAATTAAGTTAAATGTTTATAATACAGTATTTATTCATTATTAAGTATAAGTTACTAATAAAATTATGTATATTATATAGTTCTATTATATGTATTTCATGAAATGTACAAATTTTTACTTTGTTGTAACCCTTTTATTTTGTTAAATTGCAGTATAATAATGTTAAAAATTAAAATTATATTAAGTGCAATAATTTTACTTTACGAATAGACAAAAGAAAAGTTCATTTTTTAATGGAAGATGGCAGAGAAATGGTAGAAGAATACCATTTGGAGACTAATGTTTTAGTACGAAGAGCATGGAAAGAAAAAGGTAAACTTGGTCAAGATGTAGGTTGGAACATAGAAATTGGAGACCCAGAACCCAGACAAAATAATATTGAAGTCTGTGGAATTCAGGAAAGTTCAAGTGCTGTACGTGAAGCTTGTTTAGCAAAATTTAAAGCTATATTTACAAATGTATATTTCAGTCTCATTAGTGCTGTAGAATGAATGAGTATTATATAATATTTTTGTAGCCATTTATTACAAGACGAATTACAAAGACTTCACTTGAGTGGCGTATAAGAAATTTATCATATCCACGGAATGTTTATTCTGTAACTGCAGAAGATGATGGAACAATAACCATTCGTACCAGCAATAGAAAATATTTTAAGAAAATAATAGTTCCTGATCTAGAACGTGCTGGATTGAAACCAGAACAAGATAGAATATCTTTTACACATCAATACAGTACATTGATTATCACGGTATGAAAACTATTTTTTTAATAATGCTTCTAAATAAATCCTATGATTCTTTTTTTTATAGTATAGTAAACCTCCTGCACTTCTGGATTTAGAGAAAAAGGTATTGAATGAGATATTACAACTAAAGGTGAAAAAAGATGGAGATGCACAGTGTCCAATAAGCTAATAAAAACCTTCATTTTCAAAAACTTTTTTCCTCACTTGCCCACATGTTATGTTATATTGTTCATAAAGTATATAAATACATAAATATATAAGTATTAACATAAATATATATTTTCTCACACACAAACAAACAAACATATATGAAAATGAAATTAAAACACTTAAAATAAATATAAGATCTAATATTAATGTCACACAAGTATTCCACACATTACTATATATAATTGAAAAATTCTGAAACATTTTTATTAACCTATACAATTCTTTTATGTATAATAACAAACCAGATTTAAAGTAAGTATTTCATTAATTTAATTTGTTTTATATATAACACCTGACATAACTAATAATATATAAGGTATAAAATGAATTCATTAACGTAACTGCGTGTGCGCAAAAATCGAGAGATCGATCGATCGTTCTGCGTCACGAGTATGTACCTTTGCCTGCATCTGCTACTGCGTATGTGTACTGTGATAGTGGTATTGCGTTTCGGTGTTGTGCTTTTAATTTTGCATAAAAATATCTAAATAAACGACGGTCATGCCGAAGACAATACCCGATAGGTAACTATTATTTATTTTTTTATTTTCCATAATACCGTTGAGCTAGTTGAGGTATTTGAAACTACGTATTTATTAGTTTAATCTGATCACATTGTAGAGAGGTTATGTTATGCCGACGTTTCTTAATGTTTTTAATATATCTTTTCTAAGCTGAAGTTATAGAAATCTACTTAACTACGAACCAAAAAGCTGTCCTACATATTGAAATTTACATGCTATGAAAATACAAGTAATAATAAATTTTTAATATGCTGAAATATATTTATTGATGCGATTTGTATGGTGCCTAACTTATCGGTTGAAAACGTCTATCTGTGTGAACCGTTAGAGTTCTTAATAGAGGGGGCTTTTTTATTTGAATATAGTAATAAATATGAAGTACAAAATTAATTAAAATAGTTTCATTTGTACAGACTATATTTCGTTGTTCTTTGTAAAATAAAAATTTTATAAGTGACATCGTTATTATTAAATATTAAATGATTTTACTTTGAAGTATTTAAAATTATTATTGGCAACGCATTCAAGCGCCGATAGTGTTTATTTTTCCTTTTAGTATCACCTGTTGCATGTGTCTGTTCAACACATCTATCATATACACATATGTTCGTAAATCATATTTGAGTTTTTATACTTTTATCTGATATTGCTATTTCATATTGCAGGTGGTTGGAATATAAACCTTACGGTACAGTGATCAATGGTACAAAAATTTTACCGTTCAAAGTGCCACTAAAACTGGTGAGTATTATCCTAAATAAACAACTAACGTTTAAGGTCTGATACAGGTTCCGCGTCTTTTTCACGCATTAATGCATTATGTTTCTTAAATTTGAGAATTTCGTAGTGTTTTCGTTGAAAACTTTATAAATTATCAATTTAAGAAATACAGTAAAGTTACTGCTATTTACAGATTTGATAATATGTACGTTTCACGAAAAACTTTCTGAAAGAGCACTATTTTTTATGCACGGATAACGTAATATATTTCCTTTCCGCAGTTTTGTAGGTTATAATAACAAAATGTTTAATTGGTTAAATTTGTTTTTATAAAACTTTAAATAACGCGTGAAATTAGTCTGTTTACTTTTATTCCCTTGTTTACTTTTAGATTTATGTAAAACACTTGAAATCAAATCTGTTTTAAACAAGATATATCAAACAAGCATACTTGTGTTATTTTCGCACCGTGATGTGAGGTTACGTTAAATTGTTAAATCCGAAAAATATATGATAATAAAATTACCAAACAGAATTAAAGTGAAACAACGTATCAATTGTCCAACAAAAATAATCGACTAACCTTATTTTACTTATACATTTAACGTATCCCAGAAGTGAAGTGAGTTTCATTTGCAAATCGTGCTTCTAAAACCATACCTTTCGAACGTATAGCCGGTGTCCTCGGAATTGCGTGTTTCTTTTTTTTTTTTCTGTCCTCCGTACTAAATCAAAGATCCTCTTCGCGGGGGTCGTGGTGACTTCGAAGCCGAGATAAGATCGCATCGAATTCCAGAAATAGAGGATACAGTGTCAGTACCTATAGGTGTCGGTGGGTGTATGTGCGTACACGTTTTGGAATTCATGGCACACAGGCCTCTGCAAAATCCATTCGAACCCGCTGGTATACAAACAATTTTTATATACTTTAAAATGTCATATAATTAATATACTTAAAATGTAATAATATAATATTTTTATACACTTTAAATATTACAATACACGACATCGTACGCACTTGTATGTGATACATAAAAACTTGTTAAGGTTATGTACCATTTGCATAATAGTTAGACGTTAGTTTTAAAATTTACGATTGTTGCATTCGTTAAAAGTGTTTATTCATCAACTAATATGACTCGTTCGTAATTGTGAAGTACGTAATCATAATATATTTTACACTTACACGAAGGAACGTCTCATACCATCTTTATTATCTTATTATCGTTGTTATATTTTTCTAAATTCTTACATCGGTAACTACTTTTCCATTCTTTCGTGGAAAATGTTTAAAACAATATGAAGTTTCTTCAGACGTGTACAAAGTGTGGTAGATATAAAAGTATACTCGTGAAACGTGAAGTTTCATCAGGTAAAAATTTCTTTTATACCACTGGTTCAGCATCATGAACGAGGGAGGCTCGTCGTTTATCGATGAATGCTAGTGGTAACGGTAAGGTGGGAAAAAACACCTTCGTGAGATCTCGTATCGGTTTAAGCCAAATTGCTGTATTGTTACATGCTCTCACTCCCAGCATAGATATAAACAAGCTTGATGTATGCACAGTTTCGTCCGATACGTATGGTCGTGCTTTTTGGATCGTGAATAGCCCCGGTCGATTGTTTGCCTAGTAGCTGAACAAAGTCCGATCGTACGTTCCCATGCTGGTTGCTGCTGTGTGATGTATCGCGCTCGTGCTGCGGCATTCATTGATGTTTTTTGATTTCAAGGATACATGAATTCACTATCTTTCTTTCACTTTCTTTTAGATTTATTATGCTAGTAGTTTGATCATCTCTTTCTGTGATTGTATCTTTACATTTAACCCTTAACCGGTCACGTGAAATTTTCGTGCATAAACGGTTAGGTTAGGTCTGTGAGACTGATATTTTTAAATAGGAACGGTTAGACACACGAGATTCTCGTAAACTTTTTTTTAGAACTCAATAGAAACTGAACTTAAACGTTTACTTTTTCGCATTGGTACATTGATAGATTTAAGTTACAAAAGGAAATATAGCAAAATATGAATTTAGCGTAGCAAATTCAAGAAATGTCAGCAGATTTATAAATGACCATTTCGAAATGTATTATACAATGAAAATTGTTCGATACGTTTAACAGTCGTGAAATATGACGATATTTATACCGTATAAGATAGAGGCAAACATTATAACTTTATCTACAGACGAATGAAAACATACGGTACAGTAGCGGCCATAAGTTTAAGAGAGGGAGATGTGATTTAGATTGTATGTACATTATACGAATAATTGGCTTGGTGGGAAAGTAATGTCGGTTTTATGAATGCAAAAGTCAATCAATTTAAAACCTTCTCGAGGTTTTAAAGTCATCGGTGTTTTTTCGCCAGCTATGACATTTTTTCCATGTTTTACAAATTCGACAACTTTAACATTCGTACTAAATATTCCAGGTTTTCATTTTAACCCTTATATATTTTATAATCTCATTTTATTTATTTATTATTTATTGTTGTACTATTACTTTATCACCAGCCAAATTTTTATAACAATTACAATTAACAAAGTTACAATTGTAACTTATCTCCTGAGGAACGAAGAAAAACCGGGTTACAGAGGGTTAAAACAAATAGTAGGTCCCTTCTAACCGTGATACCCTTTGGCACCTGTAAACCAGCATACGGTAACGTTTCTCGTGTAACGCGGTACGTAAGGTCGACTTGACGGATAAAGTATAAAATGGTATGAACAGTGAATAGATTTCCACGTGAAAGTCAGTGTTGGCAGCTTGGTGCTCCGCTGGAGGCGAGTAGCACCGCTATTCCCGTTTGTTTCGAGTCATTTAATTTCCGCCTAACTCGCAGCGAACCGGTTTTTCTCGTCTACCGTGGGTCCTCTGGTTCACAGCGGACAGTTGCAAATAAGTTCCGAACCTTTTTGAGTGGATTGGCCGCTATGCATATAGGTGCATGCATACGCAAAATAGGAGGGTGCCTCGACTAATTGATTCTGGCGTCGCGGGCATTACATAAAACAAGTCGAAGTGAGGGCCAGGAATTGGAGTTGGGTTGATTGGGCCTGTTGCACGGCCGCGGGGGGCCACTCGTTAATAGGGTCTTGAAATGCCCCGTGCTTGTGACTGTGTGGTGTGTGCCCGTGATTCTCTCTCTCTCTCTCTCTCTCCCTCCGTGTTCCGTGGTGCTCTCTTGTACTCTTGTCCCTCGTGCTCGTGCTGGTACCTGTGCCAATATCCGTTCTTCCTTTACCTCCGTGCCTTTGGACCGCACGACGGACCGCTTCTTCATCTTTTATAAGAACGTGTAACAAATATCGGATCACACGAAACGTGATACCGTCTTTGCCGACACACCGTACACTTTCTACCTTCTTCCTACCTTTTCATTTATTTTAGTCGGACATCGGCCTCGATGAATTTAAGTCGACACCCTTACAGTCACATATACATTGTAAAGGATGCGCTTTAAAGTTAATTTTCATTTTTGGATTGAATTTCCTACGCGGTGGTGTAATTTGCTACAGTATCGGCGGAGTAGCGATCCGCGAACTTTTTTATACCCTCGCGCGTTGTATCGTTCGACCGACTCGCATAATTCCCCCCCGGTTTTAACGCAGCCCGTCGCTTTTTTGCCTTTCGTGTTGCACTTATCATTTTTTGATATCGCTGTTGTTTTACACACTCGACGGTAATAATTCATGGATACGACGTAGTCGACGATACTCTTCCCCCGCTTCCTTCTCTTCCGCCTCTCCGTTCTCGTATTTTAATTATTTGCTCGACCATTTTCAACACGTACAGAATGTTCTACAATTGGTATAATTATGAAGGCGTGAATTCTATATGAAAATATAAACTGGAAATGTTGGATAAAATTTTTCCCATACGAAGCTTAGTTTTTGGGAATTAATCGTCAATTCTGGGGAATTAATTGACGCATTTTGAGCAAAATTTAGATATTATTTCTTGTTCGAAAGAATTAATTTTGAACATTTTGAAAAATTTTAAATGTATTGTATTTCTTGCTTTGCTCAGAATTTATAGTTACGTCAAATGTGTACTTTAAGCATTAGTTCTTCTCGTTTTCATATTTGCAATCCACAAACATGCAAAATTAAAAAAAAAATCAATTCATTTCATAATATCGAATGTTACTGCTCTTCACAATAAGCGAAATGTAACGTATTTATTTAAGCATATTTATAATCACCGACTTTTTATTTCGTGCTTCACAAGGCTTGTTTATCGCGAAAGATTCACCGCGAAAGATAAATTACCGAAAGATGAAATGGTAGTTACGGTCATACACGTGTTACTTACGGTGTGTTATTAGGGAGAAATATTAAAATGTTTTCATCGCTCATGCAGATGTTTATTGCCCGAAAAGTTTTCCCTTTGCCTTTATTCCATAAACTGGGTATAGGTGCTTATTACCTGTATCAGCTTTCATCGGCCACGTTGCTGTATAATATTATAGTGAAACGCGAAAGATACTCAAGCAATACGCAACCATTGAATAGATAACAATCACGTTTATACGTCCGAGATGTTAACGCTGTTGATATCAAAACGAAGTGTTATTAATTACAATATCGGTATGCAAATAATTCGGATTGCACATTTATTTATATTACAATTTCTCAACGACGTTGTATTCTATTTTAAACGAGCAATACTATTCGTTAAATAAAATAAAATTGAATAAGTAGTATTTTTAAAAAGAGAAACACCTGTCCGGTAGCTTGAGAAAGACGTCTTTCCTTTTGACATAAGAAAATGTGGAATGATTTAGACGCGGGAAATCAAAGAGCAGATAGGCATATCGGATAGTATAGTATTCTTTCATTCTTACCATTCCATGCAGTTCGACCGCATACCTGACGTTTTCCCCGGAGACCTAGGAACCACGGCAAATTCTGCACATAGAAGCAGAATATTAATTTCTGACTCAAGTTCGGGTTAGAATCCACCTGAGAATGGATAGGCTGTCTTCGTGGGTGATATCTGTATTTCAACCTCTGAA